AGACACCACTGTAACAGTTTTAAGCTTTTTGATGCTTTTTTCCATAAATATATATTTTCTCTTATCGTGAATGCCTCTTTCATGTGATTGGCCCGTTCAAGGTCGTTTGCTGATTGGTTGTTAGCGGTGCTGAAAGTTTAACTTTGCCACAACAACCAGTAATAATCACTATCAGCGGAAGAAATCGCAAAGAGGTTATTTCCTTCATTTGTCTAGGAAGTGCCTACTCATATACGTGGCGGCATGAATGAGGATATCAAAATCAAAATAGGAAAGATAAGACAGACATAACTCCAGATTTTCAACACCAAACTGTGAAGTCAGTCAATTTTTAAATATGAGTCAGGAACTTAGCGCGTCAAAAAGAAAGCATTTCAAACAGCCAGTTTCAGACTTTCAACGACGATGCTATCATTAACTGCATACTGAAGAATCCGTTGATAATAATTGGTGATTGTTTTGATGGTATTGGTTAGCAGATTATTTTCATCACCTTCGTTTTCCCTATGTTCACTTGGAGTGGTGTATTCTCTAGCTGATTCATCTTCCAACTTGTTGATTTTCCTCCGTAAGTCTTCGAATTTATGTGACATTAGACACAAAGCTTCTTAGAAATCCAAATATTCTAAAGTCTTCTTATCGGTAGAACGCCTTCATTCATACAACTAATGCACATACTTCTACTTAAATCGATTTTAGGTATTCATAAGGAATATTTACTCTAGCTAACTAAACGTGTTTTCTTTAAGTGTCCTTTTATCGATTAAGTGAATACTCCTCGCCTGTTTGTCTGCGCACTTTTAAATTCACTTGTGTTACTAATACACGATCCTAAGACTTCATATGTGTGTCCTTAACATTCTTCCATATATATATATATATTGTTCAAAGTTTTTGATATATTACAAATCAACTTTTAAGCATTGGTTTTGTACGGAATGTGATTAATTAGTTGAAGGATTTCATCATACGCCAACATCAGTTAGAGAACCATCGGAAAATCAACTGGGAGTACTGGACAACTGTTTGTACTGTCTTAGTTTTGGACTCTTCCAATGGTTTCCTAACTGATTTCAGTTCATAATGTAATCCTCCATCCAATCAAACAAATACCTGGAATTCCCTTGTGTAGCCTCAAAGAATTACTTCTTAAATGCACAATCAATGTTCACTTCGTCTTCGATAATTCATACTATCGACTAGTAGATGGAATAGCTATGGGTTCACCATTGGGCCCAATATTAGCTGACTTCTTTTTCGCAAAACTTGAAAACGGGAAACTGAAGGATACCATCAAGGAGTTGGATATGTATTACCGATATGTCGATGATACATTTATCTTAGCTGATGAGAAGGTTAACATAGACGAGTTGCTACTTAAATTCAACAACATTCACCCTTCGCTTACCTGTACTTGTGAAGAGGAGCAGGAGAATAAACTACATTTCCTGGATGTCTTGCTAAGTAGGAGAGAAGATGGGTCACTTGGGAGAAGTGTGTACAGAAAAAGCACATTCACAGGGCAGTACACGCACTTCCTTGGTTACGTGCCCATTAAATATAAAAGGAATCTTGTAAAATGTCTCGCTAGCAGAGCAAGGAAGATATGCACGGAGGACTTCTTACAAAAGGAATTTGAATATATTCACGATTCCTTGACGGAGATGGGTTATCCGAGTAGTTTCATAAAGAAACATATGAAACTATCAGAGAAGAAACCTGTGACTCTGACTGCACATAAGAAACCTCTATTTATTAAGTTACAATTTAATGGGGACTTATTTAGTGTGATTCTGTTTCAAAGACTTTCAAGGAGTATTCGTAGAACATTTTACGCAGCACACCTATGTTTGTCATTCTCTAGCCGACGAATGATTGGGACGCAAATGAAGGATAAGCTAGATAGTTTTGCCACATCTATGTGTATTTATCAATTCAACTGCACCTGCGGTGACACCTATATTGGGCGTACTACTAGACAGCTTAGACAACGTGTTAGTGAAATTCTCCCATCGTGGTTTGGCAAAGGACACACAAAAACAATCCGTAGCTCAATTCTGTCACATCTAATTGATAGTGGTCATGTAGTCGATAAAACAAAAGCCTTCAAAGTAATTCATCGTATCCCTCCGAATCTTTCTAATAGACTTCGTATTTGTCTACTGAACACAGCTGAGGCGACAGGCATTCGAACTATTAAACCTAAACTATGCATTCAAAACAAGTTCGTGCAGCCATTATCCCTCCCGTGGCCTAATAAGACATAACCAACGAAAGACTTCTACACCACTCCTCATTTATATTTTCAACCCTTTTGTTACCATTCCTTAATCTGATCTTCATTTTAAATGTGTTTCATTTCCTTCCCTTACAATCTAACATTACGTAATCGGTTCATTTGTTTTTACTAGCCTTTATCGACTACTTCCACCTGAACAATTGTTTGTTTAATCATTCTGTTTTCAGTTGTTCGTGCTATCACAGATTGCCTCATTTTTCATCCTTATTATTGATAAGACCATTATTATTATTATTATTACTATTATTAATATTATCATTACCAGTATTATGACTAACTGCACAATTTATATTCACCATCGTATTATCCTACAGACAAAACACCATGATTGGTTTACATTTGAATTTTTATTTGTAAACTTATATATATTGGAGTTAAGCCTGATGAGATCTAATTGAAAAACAATATTGTTCGCTTAAATGTGTTGTTTTAAATACCTGGAAAACCAATATTTGAAAATTAACCTGATTCTCGCTAGCTACTGGCCCTATTCACGCAGTCAACCTGGGGTCCTAACAAGATCAGTATGGTGAGGCAGTAGCTCATTGACGAAGGCATTGAGAAGTGGTCGCTCTATAACATGAATTAGCAGAAGTTAGAATTAATGGTCTGGTCATTGGATTAATCGGGTCCCAGTGGCTTAATGGTCCACGAGCTAGCTCGCTGGGCTTAAACCCTGGTGGCGGGTGCGTACTGTTGACGAAACAGCTGTCTAGTACTCCCTGTGGCTGGTTTTCCAATGGTTCTCTAACTGATGTCAGGTCATGATGAAGTCCTCCAACCAATACTGTAGATAAAACAACAATTCTCATAAAACAAAATGCTGACACTGTCAAAGGATTGTAAAAGAAGTGAGCAAGATCCAAGTGCAATAGTTCAGTGAAGTTCGTCTAGTTTTTCTTGCCAGCTGAATGCTTGCTTATTCAATCATTTGTGATACAATTATTCTTATTATATCGTGAGTATCAATCATTAGACACGCAGCCCTTAGTGTGGATTCAATTCTCGGTCACTGACATACTCCTAAAGCTTTCTTTTAATCGATGACGGTTGCTGTGAAGGGGGAAGGTTGCACGCAAAGCTAGCGATCTATCTCATAGAAGCGAAACCATTGCTACTACAACTTCAAAGCCGAAGCTTGATGCCTTATGCTCCACACTTGAGAATCAAAGGAATGAAAGAGGAACAAGTGCTAAGGTTTTCGTCTCTTAGATACAAAAATGTATTTTATCAATTGACAGCAATCAGGAGTTATCTTCGTGGCTTACAAAATAAGTGATACAATATAAATTCAGAAAAACGACGATGATGATATACAGTTTGGCATTTTTGTATCGTTTCGTCAGTGCATCCAAACATAGCAGGTCAATTTCAAAACGAAAAGCAGCCAGTTATACCAAAAGTTAACAGGGTTTGAAGGAAATTCATACCCATGAATTCAGTAGGCGAGTGGAAAAGGTTGGATTGGGAATTACGTCATCTAGATGATGAATACTGATTTACTGGATGCCATATAAAATAAGCTTGAGGATTTAGACCCAATAGCCTACTTTTTAAAACAAGCACTTCAAAATTTCTCTGGATAACCTAAATAAAGCAGGAAATCCCATTGACTGCTTGCCTACCGAAGTGATGAAGCGTATAGTCTCTTCTTGTCAGGCTATATTTAACAATATGCCAAACTGAATGCCTCTAAAGACTATAAAACATACAATCCTGAATTTTTACGGCATAGCTAGTGTGCTATGTGAAAACAAACAAATTCTTCAAAAGGTCGGCGCAGTCTAATTGCCTCATCAACTTTAAGTTCGGTAATTCTCTTGATTCTAGTAAGTTTACCAAATTTCAAGATCATTTAAGACTGAATAGAGGTTATAAATTTGTCACTATAGCTCGAGACAAAACACCATGTCAACGTAGAATAATGCGGAGTAATAATCTGATCACCTCCTCTGGCTTCACTTTACCTAGTACTGACAGTAGCATTCAGCGAACTACACAACGATCACGTCTGCCGGTGGAACTAGGAAATGATTTAGATATTAGTATCCCTGTTTACAAAGCTTTACTGAAAGGTAATAAAATAGCTAGTACTGCTGCAGTCTGTACTTAGAAATTTTCATCTAAACGTAGTAGCCCCAACACTGTGAGTTATTTACACAGAACTGCATCTTATAATGGGGAGGGATACTCTGTACTTAATAAGCCTGCTGAGAGTAAGCATGTCAACAAACTCGCACTAAATAGCAAGAAACCCTCCTAAAACATGTGTTGGTTTGGTGATCTTCAGTATACTCCGCCTTATAGAAACTTAGGTTCCAAAAACCACAAGGTCGTGCAACTGAAGCACCTCCCCCACAATATTCTTCGGCATATAAAACAATAAGAAGACGTGTACCGGTATGCCTAATAGCAAGTCGATGGTTGGACCTTATAATGTTTTGCCTTTTAATCCACAACCCAGCCTCGCGTACTACTTACTACCTGTACATTCAGGAGCACATTTCGAGATACTGTTACAACCCATGACACCTAGGAGCACCTCAACACGCTCTAACCTCAATGTATGAACAACTAGTCCGCTCTCCTTTTTACTCATAAACTCTTACGGTGCTGACGCACAAATGGAATAAGGCAATGGTGATAATTTGAGTTTGTGGTGTAAGAAGTCAAGAACTTTAAATGTAACATAATTACTTACCACTCATACGAAATTGCTCTATATAGTGTGGTTTACAGAAGATAACTCCATCCAAGGAGGCGAAATTTCCAACTCTATTTTTAAAAATAAAAAGGAGAATAAGAAAAAAAATGATATGATTAGTTATGAATTCTATTCAACGAACTTCTCTTTCAGAGAACTTTATTGACACCAGCTTTAGTTGTTAAAAGACTCCTTTTTTGGCGAATTCATTTTTTTTCAAGTATTGGCTTTGTAGGGATTTTGTTTGGTTGCATGGAGGATTTAATCATGAGCTGACATCAGTTAGAGAACCACTGGCAGTAACTCATCGAAGAAGACATTGCGAAGTGGTCGCGCTATGTCGTGAACTGGCAGAAGTTAGAATTCAAGGACCATTGGATCGGGTCCCAGTGGCTCAATGGTCTACGAGCTCGCCTTGTAACCAGAAGGTCCTGGGTTCGAATCCCGGTGGGCGCGTACTGATGAAGAGTCCCAAACTAGGACGAAACAGCTGTCCAGTACTCCCAGGTTTTCCAGTGGTTCTCTAACTGATGTCAGCTCATGATTAAATCCTCCACGAATTCATTTTTCTCTTCAACTGTACTATTGTATTTGTATACCCTTTTTCACAAAAGAGAATAGTAACAAAAGTAATGAGTTCTTGTAACCACATTTGTTGGTGGACTCAAGAACATTATTCTCCATGGTCGAAGAAGGGAAATAGTGGCTTTACATGGAGTGTAATAAACAAGTACCTTTTCCACGGTTGCCATTCCATCCAAACAAACTTGTCCTCTACAAAGTGAAAAGCAACCCGACAATGACAGTACGTTTTCGGCTTATTTGCACGGTTGAAGTTCCACCTATTCAGACAGAGAAGCTGGAGCAGCTTGGCGTACAGGAGAAAATTACCCAGACACTTATATTGTAGTGATAACTTTGTGTTCCATCAGCCTGACTTTTGTTTAGGAGAACCAACAAATTTCGCGAGGAAATATATTCGTTTTCAGTTAGCCCTTTTCATTATAAGCTATATGGATTTGATTTCTTTCATTTTTAACCACATACTGATATCAATTAGACAACCACTTAAAACCAACAGAGCGTACTGGACAGCTAGGACTCCTTCAAAGCTCTGACCGACCATAGATGTTCAAGCCCAGGACCTACCATTTACAAGTCAAGCTCATAGACCTCTTAACAACTGGTACCTGACTCAATTGCCAGTTTATGAATTCTAACTTCTACCAATTCATGATTTTAGCGCGACTAGCACTAGCCAATGACTTCGAAAGCGAGCATTTGTCCCCACTCCGGACCAGGTGGAACCAATTGGTCACGAATTATCACTGAAGCTACTGGCGACTTCGTCCTCTAGACAGTCACTAGCAAGGGAACTCCGGTGGATGCGTGCTGGATGAGTGCCAAGGTAGGACGAGGCACCTATGTATAAATTTATTTAAAAACAGTGGGAGACAGAGAGATAGTCTTGAGTCAAACATAAACCAATAATTTGATTATATTATATTTCTTGTTTTACCCTTTACAACCCGATCTATTTTCTGTCACTTGTGTGCGTAACTCTTTTCCAACTTTTCAACTGAGAGTAAACGACATGTTGTCAGTCTATTCAAAAATATGGGAATACATTTGTCCAAATGCCTAGTTCTCTCATCTTCCTATGTCTTTTGAGCGGCTTTGCAGCACGTCTCATACCGTCACTTTACCTCTTCTAATGCATTGATTAACATTGGCAAACATGACTATGATAACTCATCACGTTTGTTCCTACCTTCTTTCGTGAAAAAATGTTTAAAAATGCGACAAAACAGCTAAAGCGAATCAAGTGTTGGCCCTATTCAGGTAGGTAGTCACCTGGGTTCTAATGGAAAGCCGTAACCAATGGGGTAAAGCAGGTCGAGTGTGAGGACAAATACTCACCGAAGAAGTTGGTTAGCGGCAGCGCTATGTCGTGAATTGGCAAAAGCTAGAATTCATAGGCCATTTGATCGGGTCCCAGTAGCTTAATGGTCTACAAACTCCCCTTGTAACCAGAAGGTTTTGAGTTCAAACCATGTTGGTGGTTGTGTACTAATGAATAGTCCCAAACTAGGACGAAACAGCTGTCCAGTACTCCATTTTTGGTTTTCCAATGGTTCTCAAACCAATGTCAGCTCATGATGTGATCCTGTAACTAAAGCGAATCAGTTCGACGAAAAGAACCTCTTCGCCGAACTACTCACTTTTTTCATGAGTGTCTGGATGGGGATTGTTCATGAGTCAAATCTCAAAAAAGATTCATTTCATTCAACACAGGGTCATCAGTGCACCCTGTGGAGGGGTACCGATCTATGCAGAAACCATACTCAATATATAAGCAGAGAAGGAACAAACGTTGGTGCACAATAACACTGATTCATTGTATTTCGTTGGTTCTCAACAGCCACGTACAACCTATAACGTTATTTCGTCTGTCGACAGGCATATTATAAGAACGTCATAGGGAAATAAAAGAACCTCGCCAGATTACTAGCCTGCTAGGCTACTACCTTTCTAGTTTTCTAGCCGGTCCCAAGCCCGGATAAAGAGGGACGGTTGGGGTGTGGTGCTAGCAACTCCACCCCAGAACTTAATCAAGCTGCTACAGAAACTTGAATGCACAGATATATTAAAAATTCTAAAAACATAAACAATAACCTTATTTTGTGCTGGAATCGGGGAAGTGAAATGACGCAGGCTGGTGAAAGCCTTCGGGAAGCCAGTCAGCCGATGTGCCTTCTTTCGATGAAAGCAAAAGTAAGGATGGGTACCTGGAATGTTCGTACAATGTACGAAACTGGAAAGGCTGCCCAGATAGCCGCTGAAATGAGAAGGTACAGAATAGAAGTGTTGGGAATCTGCGAAATCAGATGGAACGGAACTGGAAGGTGCCAACTACCAACTGGAGAGACAATAATCTATTCCGGCCACCCAGAGGACAACCACGAGCACACCGAGGGAGTGGCCATCATGATGTCACCAACAGCAGCCAAAGCTCTCATGCAGTGGGAACCAATCTCCTCCAGGATAATGACAGCCAGGTTCAACTCAAAAGGAAGGAAAGTTACAGTCATTCAATGTTATGCGCCTACAAACGTCTCAGAACAAGAGAAGAAGGAGGCGTTCTACAGACAACTACAAGCAATAATGGACAACGTCCCAAATGGCGATATCAAAATCCTGATGGGCGACATGAATGCGAAGCTGGGACGAGACAACACAGGAAGAGAACTCACCATGGGTCGTGAGGCCCTCGGTGAAATGAACGACAATGGTGAACTCTTCTCAGACTTCTGCGCCTTCAATGATTTGGTGATTGGTGGCAGTGTTTTCAAACACAAGGATATACACAAGACGACATGGATTTCACCAGATGGAAACACCAAGAACCAAATAGACTTCATCTCAATTTCAAGAAAGTGGAGACGGAGCCTACTGGACACAAGGTCGAGGAGAGGAGCAGATGTGGGTTCAGACCACTATCTAGTAGAAGGGACTTTCAAGGTGAAACTAAAAGCCTCGAGGATAGCTGGGGATAGGCCACAATGCAAGTTCAACACTCAAAACTGAAGGACACAACCACAAAAGACACTTTCACTGCAACTGTCAGAGCAAAGCAGGAAACACTACGCGACAGCACTGAAGAATCATGCGTGGAAGAACATTGGAAGTCTCTGAAGGCGATTCTCAACGAAACGTGTTCAACGGTTCTAGGAAGAAAGAAGAGACAAGACAAGGAATGGCTCTCAACGGACACTTGGAAATTAATAGAAGAGAGGAGAATGGTGAAAGAGAAAATGATTCAATGCAAGGACGGACAGGAGAAGGAGACGATGAGCTCAACTTACAAAGCATTGGACAAAGAAGTGAAGAAAAGTGCTAGGAAGGACAAAAGACGATTCTACGACAACCTGGCCACTGAAGCTGAGAAGGCAGCAGGCAAAAGGGACCTGAGGACACTATATCAGATAACCAAATCTCTATCCGGGAAGAGACCAACACAAGCGAAACCTATAAAAGACAGCCAAGGGAAGCCCATTACCAAGGAAGAAAAACAGATTAAACAATGGGCGGATCACTTCAAAGGACTCTTGAACCGACCATCACCTGCAACCCGTCCAGAAATACCAACAACAGCGCGCACACAACTGCAAGTTGACACCAATCCTCCAACGAAGCTGAAGTCTTGAATGCAATCAAGCTTCTGAAAGCTGGAAAAGCAGCCGGACCAGATGGAATACCCCCTGAAGCACTGAAAGCGACCCAGAGACTACAGCAGACATGCTGACTCCATTATTGCAAAAGGTCTGGAAGGAGGGAAAGGTGCCTACTGACTGGAGGAAAGGTTACCTCGTGAAACTACCAAAGAAGGGCGACTTACGCCTCACTCTGCAAGAACTGGCGAGGAATCATGCTCCTGTCGACGCCAAGTAAAATCCTGAGTCGCATCATCCTGGAGAGATTAAAGGACGCACTGGAGACAGAACTCCGACCAGAACAAGCTGGATTCAGGAAAGGCAAATCATGTACTGACCAAATTGCAACTCTACGCATCATCATCACAGAACAAAGCATGGAATGGCAATCAAACCTCTACCTCAACTTTATAGACTTTGAGAAGGCCTTCGACAGCGTTGACCGTGAAGTAATTTGGAAATTACTCGAGTACTACGGCGTACCCCAAATATTCATCAACCTTATTCAACAGCTGTACGACAACGGCACATGTCAAGTGATCCACAACGGAAACTCAGCGAGGCGTTTGGAGTAAACACAGGAGTCAGACAAGGGTGCTTACTTATCACCAATGATATTCCTAATTGTGGTGGACTGGATTATGCGTCAGACAGTGAGTGGGAAACGAGAAGACAGGATATCCTGGACCGACGTGAAGAACCTAGAAGACCTGGATTTCGCCGTGGATGATTTATGTTTGATGTCACACAAAATCGAAGACTTACAAGCGAAAACCGACAAACTGGTCGAAGAAGCAGCCGGCGAAGACAGGACTCCAGGTGAACATAGACAAGACGGAGGTTATGAAAATAACCAA